TCCAGCTGTGATCTGCCCTGTTTATTTGCTTGTCCAGTGCTATCTCAGCAAACAGATCACTGTTTCCCAAGTTGCCATCACTATTCTGGTTGGATGGCTTCACTGTTAGCAAAAGGAAGCCCTTTCAACCTCCATCTCCTTCGAAAGTTATTACCACAAAGGTGTCACAGAGCAGGAGACTCACGTGAGCAGTCAGGTTGGTGAGAGCTTGTGGTCCACATGGACAGTGACATTGGTGTCTTTGCAGTAATTCTGGGAGCTTTGAGCAGGACAACATACGTGAGTGCAGATGGACAAGGCAACCCTGCTGCATGACAAGAACAGTTCACTTGCTCCCCCTGCTTTGTTGCAAGGCAGTCCAGCTTTGCCAGTGAGACTCATGCTTTGGCTTAGTCTTTCACAACCTGTCTCTCTAATAGATAACACATTTCTATTGCAAATATAACATCTGTTCTCATGGATGTTTGAGGGAATGAGGTTATCAAACAGATATCTAGTCACTGGCACTGGATGATAGAAAGTGCCAAATAATTTGCTCAATAGAGGGGATTGATACCTAGAGTTTGTGTTGGATGCATTTCAATTACCACGATCTAGCAGTGTGTTTTATACTTTTCCTCTAGCTCCCCTGTTTCAGAAGGCTGTACTCAAGGCAAGATGTGACAAGGTTGTCTTGATTTTAATTGCCCCACTTTCACTGATATGTGTTCATTCCAAACTCTGATTCAAAATCTGTTTCAGTTCAAAGTGCTTGGCCTTATGACATGTGGTCATACTTTTATTACCAGTTACTTGATTTAGATGCACAGTGCAAGTCTTCTATGGCTTCATCCTGTTCGTGTGATGTTTCCTGCATACATGCATCATATCTCTATCCCACAGCCCTTTGAAAGAATTGCTAGGACTAATACTGTTTCATTATTCTTGTTTCCCCTATGGAAATATCCTTTGAGAATCATTTGCTGGTCTACTTATTTATTGCAGGATGATGTGCAGAGTTTGCTAAAAACCTTGCAGCTGAGTACCAGACAACTTCATCACATGTGTGGCCATTCCAAGGTAAGATAAGTTCTTATTGCAGCACAAACTCCTGTCCTAAGAATGATTTATTTCCCTTCCACTGCTTTTCCAGAGCATAGGCAGGTTATACTTGCAGGCTTCCAACAGTTCCTGTACAAGCAAAAACTCTGAGAGGAGGAGAAATAGCCTTGGCCCAAAAGTTGAAGTATTTGATCTGAAAGTGGTTGACTTGGATGTCAGATGAGGTTAGCACACTCTTTTTTTAGGACAGAGGTTCTTGACGTTTTCAGTTGTTGTCATCTGTAAGATGGTATTTCTGAGGACACAAGCTAAGACCGTAAAGACTTTGCATATAAAGTATAGATGCCAGATGGATAATAGATAGGGGGGAGAAGCTCTGGCAAAGATCAACAGCCTTGCGAGTCCGAAGAATTGATAACAGGAGGTGAACAAGGGGAAAACCTTATCCAAAGTCCTCTTAAGGTGCCTTTTTGGCATTGTTGTATTGATACTAGGGAAGAGAGTAAAGGGAGGGGAGGAAGGAGGTAACACGCAACCAGTCTGCAAGTGTCTCTGTGGGAGATCTGGGGCAGGAAGGAAGGAGAGGATTAGCACCCTGCTTACAGTGTGGAGAGCCAGTGCTTGTCACAAGAGTGAATCACATGGAAGAAGGCAGTTAGAAAGTACTTCATGTGTGCTGCTTTGTTCCTGTTAGACTCCTAAGACGTTCAAGAACTCACGTCTGAGATGGGAACTTTGCCAGAGTAGCTAAGTGATTAGCATGGCTCCCCAAGCTAGATTTGCTACTGATTTAGTCCAGAGCTGGCATCAGGAGCATAAAAGCCCAGCTGGAGATCAGAACATGCCACTGCAGCTATCAGCATAGGGGAGCACTGGAAGCTGGCACAAACCCTGGAGATGCTAAAAAGTCCTTCTCATGTTTGAAAGTGAAATCCTCATGCCTGATTTAAAGTCACAATTCACCTTGTAAATAGGATAGCATCATTGCAGCTTGTTACGTCTTGTTTGTCTTTGCACTTGACTAGCATTTTCAAGCGCTGTGTCCCATGGTCCCCGTTAGCATATAACTGCAATTAGTGAACACCTGTGTTTTTCCACTGCTCTTGTATCTGTTGGAATCTGATTAGATCTCTGTGCCAAACTATTTTTGCAAGAATTAGAAGGCAGCAGCTGAATCTATGCAAGTACATGTATGCAATGAACGCTCCATACCTGTTTGAAGAGGAGCTGATACCAACATTTGTTAAACCAGTCTTGATTTCATTTTCATACAAAACTAGTAGATTCTCACTGACGTACCATGCAGTGTTACCTAAGATTTGCTACTCTCCCTCAATACAAGTGTCTTTAAAGAGCATCGCACAGCAGACAGCAGCAATCAGCTTCACCTATAACTTCCTAAGTATTTGTCATTTACTGTTCCACACCAAGCCCCTCTTCTGTTTACATATCTAATGCCTGACATAAGGACATCTTCTGGAGACAGATTTGTTGCAAATGCCAGGGTACTTTGTTGAGTCTCCAAACTGCCTGCAGACAGTTGAGCAGGTTCCAAGACCCAGGGAGAACTGTGATTGTTGATTGTGTCGTTCGCGAGGTTTTCCCTGATTTGATTCTGATGAGTGCTGATGATTGCTGAGTCCTGCCTGTTACACAGGCTAGAAAACAGATTGCTGTTGGTACTCAGTTACCCATTCCCCACTGGCAGAGCATGAAGCAATGCAGTGTCCCTCTTTCCAGGCATGTTGAACTCTTCCAGGAAATGAACCTGCTCTGATTTCAGAGTATAGCTAACTGAGTGTATCTTAATAAAGTTACAAAGTATTCTCATGAGAGAGGAAAATACATATGTACAAAATAATTGTTTATGGCTCTTGGCAAGTTGTCTGGTTTAGCAGTGACTCTCTTCTGTACTGCAGATCCATACCCAGCAGGAAGAGATGCTCACCTGCAGCTAAATCTCACACAATACCTGGCATAGCTGCCCTTCCTCAGCTGGTCTTTGCTTGCAGTGACTTCATCTGTTCCATCCTGTCCTAGTTTTCCAAAAGCCAGTGCTGCTTTGGTCTGGACAGGTTGGCTTTGGAGTTTATATAGTGCACACACATTCCACTTAGCTAGTGTAAAGGAATTGCATCAGACACTGAGCAAGAAAAGATTGTCATTGCGGTGGCTTATTCAACACCTTTCTCATTCTTTCTTCTCTGTGCTTGGGAATTCAGGAATTTCTTGACATGAAACTACCTGAAGCATTAGTTTGCAGCTTGTGGCTATCAGCAAGTGGCTATCTCCCTTCCTAGGTAGGTAGTTTTGGAGTCTGGCCACTTGTAGCGTTGCTTTTAGCTTTGGACTGGAACAGTGTGATTGTCCATCACTGACCTCCGTAGATAACTCTTCTATTTCACCAGCAATAGCTTGTATATGAGTCAGTCTTACCCAAGCTTTATTAGTTGCACACACCACCAGCAGCAATGCAGCTTCCAGACATTTGTGTGCAAGCAAGCTGTGGCTGCCATGAACAAGGTGGCAGCCATGCGAGATCTGTGCATGAAGATCTGTGCGTTGTTCTTGGAGAACACAGCAAGTGACACCAGTCTGTTGCTGAGATGACGGAGCAAAGGAAAAGCAGATTCCCAAAATAATTTCCCAAGGTTCATCATAATTCATCTGACTCGTGTAGTGGAGTTACTATCTTTTCTCTAAGCTGCATGAGAAAAGCTGAGGTTCCTTCTATTTTTGTCTAGAGTGGATGCGGCTGTTTGGATTATTGCAAGGGATCATTTTGCTGTCATAGACAAAATGCTTATCTGAGTTTTATTTTTTAACAAAAGCTATAAAAGAATTTGGCCAAGAAATTACATAATCTGGGCATGTTCTGTGGGGATTGTGTCCCATCCATCCCACCTGTATAACCGATGCATTTTTAAACAGCCAGAATACTCAGGCAAGAGTCAATCATAGTCATGTTTTATGCTTCACATTTAGATTCACCAAGATATTGGACTGACCAACCACGTGCCTTTGTTGAAGAAGTCACTGGAACAATTTGTATACCGAGTGAAGGCAATGCTGGCATTCAACCACTGTCAGGAGGCGTTCTGGGTGGGCGTCCTTAAAAATCGGGATCTTCAGGTGAGAATCACTGTCCTGCTCGGGTCAGTTAAAACCTGGGAAAGGACAATGCTCATCTTGCTCACACATCTGTAACTGCCCTTGTGTGCAGGTAGAGCCAAAAGGACAAATTCAGTGTGAGCATATTACAGTCATGTCTAGTGCAGCAGGAAGAAGTGTTTTATTTCAAAATTAAGGGCCTGCATCTCTGTGGGCTTCCTTGCAGTGAAGCTCTCACACTGAAGTGGTCAGTTTTTATTGTTTGTAATGATTGGGTATGGGGCATCCTTACTCTGCTTAGTGGCAAGAAGGGAAGAAGTAAAGGTCACTTGAACACCTCGTCACACACTCTTGTGAATGGCTTTAACGAAAGCCGATTCTGGCCATTTTCTTCTTCTCTCACTGTAGAAGCAGGACAGAAATGCTGCTTTCCTCCATTCCACCCTAACACGCTTTGGCCGTTTCGCACTCAGTACAGGTCTCTTGCATTCAACGTAGGGAGAAGAAATTTTGACTCAAGCCTCTGAAGAGAGGGACTCGGATGGGGAGGACTCCTCCACAGAAAGTCCGGCTGAGGTACTTTTTCACAGGCGACGCCGCCCGCTGCTTTGAGCGACTGTGTGGAAACGCTTGTTACATTGCACGGGTGGAGCGGGGAGGGAGAGGGGCAGCTTCGGCTCTGACGGCGGCGTTCCCCGCAGGAGCCGAGCGGCAGCGGCAGCGAGGAGGACGGCGCGGCCGGACCGGGCCCCTCTCCCGCCGCCCCGTGAGGGACGGGCCGCGGCGGGGGCGGGGGCCGGGGCGGCTCCGCCCGGCGGCGCGCGGGGGGGGGGGGGGCGGTGTGCGTAACCCCGCGCAGGCGCGGTGCGCGCCGGGACGGCGGCGGCGGGGGCGGCCATGTCGGTGCAGGAGGACCCGGTGCAGCGGGAGATCCACCAGGACTGGGCCAACCGCGAGTACATCGAGGTGATCACCAGCTCCATCAAGAAGATCGCGGATTTCCTCAACTCCTTCGGTGAGGGCGGGGGTGGCGGCGGCGGGGCGAGATGGCGGCGGGGCGGGGCGGGGCGGGCGCCTGCGGTGTCTCACTGCCGCCTCCCCGCAGACATGTCGTGCCGGTCGCGGCTGGCCACCCTGAACGAGAAGCTGACGGCGCTGGAGCGCAGGATCGAGTACATCGAGGCCCGGGTGAGCTGCGGGGCTCAGGCGGGGCGGGGCTCGGGCGGGCCCGGCCCTGGCTGAGGCCTCTCCTCTTCCCGGCAGGTCACCAAGGGCGAGACGCTGACATAGGCCCGGGGCGGCCCCGGGCCCCCCCGCCGGAGCACCGCCGCCCCACCGCCTGCTCGGGGGCTGCCGCCGCCACCGCCGCCTCTGCTTGTGTTGCCAATAAACCGCTGTGCTCCTGCCCTGCCTGCTCTCTGCCTGCCTGCCAGGGGCCGGGCCGTGGGCTGCCCGGCTCCCTGCCACCCTCTTGGATGTCCACAGCCTGCCGTTCCATTCGCCTGACCCACAGGGTTCAAGCCTGCATCCCTCCCCGCGCGTGGGGGCTGTGATGAGAGGGGAGATGCTCCAGGGGCTGCAGGCCTGGCTGCTGCCAGCTCTGGGAGGCACTTGACCAGCCTTTGAGGTGCTCTGAGCTCCTGCCAGGGTCACAGCGGAAAACCTGGTGATCCCAATGGTTTGGAGGGTGCCTCAGCCGGTCACTATCAGGGCTGTGTGGGGACAGCAGGCTCTCCTGGCACAGTGCACATGCCTCAGGAGGGTGCCCTTTACTGGCACCTAGGAAGAGATGCTTATCCTCTTCTCTAGGGAGGCAAATGGCAAGGAGAAGGAAATCTCTCTTGACCTCCCACCACTCCTCTATCTCTGTTTTCTTTGGGCACCTGGAGCTGCAAACTCACTGCTCATATTTAGTGTCTGTTGGGGAGAGCCCATGCAGCTGGCGTCAGTAAAGGTCCCTTTGCTTCCCAGCAGGCTTTAAATGTCTCAGTATATTCTTCAACAGGAAGCTGTCTTTTTCATGATGGCAGTATGATGTCTGCAGTGTTTACTGGGCGTCTGAGTAACTTGATGTTCTTTATGTTTTTGAGGCTGACAGGTCTGACTGTCAGCTGCTTGCTCCTCAGCATAGGTGGTCCTCCCCCAAGCTCACAGTTTTGTTCTCCATAGGAAGCTCTGTGTTTTCCACAATTTGAATAAGTGCTCCTCCAGCCTTTCCCTCAGCTCACCTAGCCAGTTATGCTTTACTGTCAGATGGGGCTGCACATCTGGGAGGTTTGGGCATACCTGATGTGTAGTCCTAGGGGAAATAAGTGCTCTGTACCAATCCCTGCAGAGCTTACAGTGGAGTGGAGCAGCCCGAGATCATTGCGCTTTTGCTCAGGGGCAGCGTCAAATGATTGAAGGATGGTGGTGTCATACAAGATTGGTAGGTAGAGCGAAAGCACCGATCTCTTTTCTCAGAGGCAGTCGCTCTGTGGCCCAAGTACATCAAAGGTACGCCTGTGGCCTGTGCACTGCTCATTCTGGATGTGCTGGAGTGGAGTCCCGATCTCCATCCTTGACTCAGTACTTGGCTGGACAAGGCCCTGAACAGCTCGATCTGACTTCGAAGTTAGCTCTGCTCTGAATGTGGGGTGAGCTAGAGACCACCAGACATCCCTGCCTAAATGATTGTAAGATTCTTCACCCAAAGACTGAATGGGAGACAAAGGGTGCTACCGACATCCCTGGAACTGGGGCTGTACTGGGCAGACTTCTTCAGCTGAGATCCATTGCGTGTTCCTGTCCCCAGCTAGTAGTGTAGTGTGTCTCAGATCCCTTCCTGGACTCCTGACAGGCTGCTGTAATGGTTTTCCCTTTTTCTTCTGACCCCAGGGATTCTCACAGCAGTAGGCATTGCCACACAGTCGGTGTGGCCAAAGCAGTTTTGGGATCTGACTTCTGGAGGCTACCATTCCACCCGAGACACACACACTTACAGAGCCTGTGCACTGTGGGATCAGCCTGGCTGGTGTATCTCCCAGCTGGGATGCTGGGCAGCTCACTGCTATACGGAGTTCTGCCCTTTTTCTTCCCCTTTCAGGGTCTCTTGGTAGTTCCTTAGGGCTCTGCAAGGCCAGGCTTTCTGGTTTGGATGCTGCTTACTCCAGGCCATCTCTGGGAAGTGGAGAAGCCACCTGGTCCTCAGGCTGCTACTGCATCTTCCAGCAGCTGCTGTGGTGTGCAGCTTTGCAGATGGAGCTTTGACACACTTGATTGTTTCAAACACCATGGAATTCTGCTTGCCTTTTTTTTCGCTTGTACTGTGTCTTTTCCAGAATATGATGCCCCAGGAACCCACTTTTAACTTTTCTGGTGTGGATTTGTGTATTGTAAATCAGGAGAGTGATTTACATGCTGTGTTAGTGGTGCTGTTCTCCTCACATGTTTAATGTAGCAGGAGATGACAGTGAGCTCTCTGTTCTCAGAACATGATTCCTTGTCCTGAGAGAGCTGGGTGCTCAGGCACCCTTGCAGCTCTGGTTATTGGTAACTGAGACCTTTTGGTGCTCTGAGACCTTTTCTACAGCTTGAACTAGAGAGCACGTTGTTTTGAAGCCTCTTACGAAGGTGCCAGAATGGAGCAGTTTCATTAGAACCTGAGCCACGTCTAGCTTGAGAAAGGTTTGCAGTCTCAAATGGTGAACAGTGGGGTTGGGTGCTCGCTGCCAGCCGGACAGACAGCCAGACTTCATGGAGGGATGGGAGCAATCCCGCAGTCCTCATCTGAGTTAACAGTTACGAGGTTTGGGAGTGACTGGTAGTACTGAATTTTGATCTCGGGCAGGAGGTGATGTGATACTGTGTTGGCATCACTATTTTTCTGATATCAGCAGAAGAGGGAGCTAGAGCTTGAATTCAAGCTTTGCATACCCCATAAAGGTTGTAGTTTCTGATTCAAAGTACATATTTTAAGATTAATGGATTGGACCAGGCTTCTCAAATAATTTTACCTTCTAGTAAATAAACTATGGGCTCTCTAGGTATCTGCTGCTAGCAGAGCCTTGATTTTAGGAAACAGCTTTGAAGTCAAATGTACCTTCATCCCTTATATGTGTCAGGTGATTGAACCTGATAATAATTTGGCAACCTGAGGTGATCTCAAGAGAGGAATGTGTTAGGACACAGCAGAGATGTTGAGGGAGAACTGTATTTTATCCCTCATAGCTTTGAAGAGCTGGACTTTTCTTTAAAGATCCCAGAATATGGTGTCTGCTTGCATCCTGGTGCCAAGGCACTGGCAGCAGTGGAAGTTGCCTCAAGGAGTTGTCTTGTGAAGAGACGATTGGCCCTGCCTGCCTGTGATTGCCTGCTGATCACACCAGGTCAGCGAGCTGGGAAAGTCACAGGGGTATGGAAGGTCTCCAGATTTACTGAGATTTTTGTGTCCAATTTCCGAAAGCTGCTAGCAGTATTGGTCTGAACTCTGCAAAGCATGAGGACCTGGGACTTGGTCCTAGTGCACATAAAAGCTTTAGGGTGGATACACTGTCAGCATACCTCTCCCTTCACCGTCCCTCTCTCCCCCTGCAGTCTGACACGTCCTTGTGCATTTTCACTTTATATCACAGAAATATGAAACCAATTAGTTGACAGTGTCGCCTTTTTGGGGATGGGACGATTCAACCTGGAGCAAAAGTTTGAGAATAATATCTTGGGGAAACAATGGATAGATGAGACTCGGAGTCCTGCCAACTTCAGAGTCAGACCTGTGGCAGGTTTGTAGGTACACCTTAGCTCTGGGCGATGTGCCGTGCTGTGTTCGAGCCAGGTTTGTCAGTGAAGCTAAGCTGCTGGCCCAACCCCAGCCCTGCTGTGGGGTTGGTGGTGTTGCCCCCTGCCTCAACAGGTAACCCCACATCTCGTGCCTCGTTACCCCTGTAGCCTTTTCTGCTATCCTGGCCTTGCCATCTCCCAGCAGGGATGTCACTGAGAAAGCGGTGGAAGGTCAGGTCTCAGCCGGCCTCTCAGAGGGTTACAAAAGGGGTTCCAGGACCAAACCCAATTCACAAAAAGTCAGGATTAAATATTGAAATCCTGGGCGTTGCCTGTGTGCTCAGAAGTGTTGAGGAAAGGGTCTGTATGAAGAGAGAGGATAGAGCTGGAGTGGGGAGTGGTCCCGTGGGCTCCCTGAGCTTCCTGGGGAGCATGTGCTCTCCTGCCTGTGGCTCTGCCTCCACAAGGCGCTTCCAGCCCCGCTGCGAGACCAGAGGAATGTAGGTGAGAAGGGACCCCAGGGAACTGGGCAGATTGAGGAGGAGAGGTGCTGGTTTTGAGCAGGTTTTGTTGCAGGTTGCTCCTGGAAGGCCGGTCAGGGTGGTGGGTGGGCAGAGTGCCCTCAGACCCCTTGGTGATCCCTTGTTCTTGCTGCAGGATTTGTGGGCTCAGCATGGCCAGCCTCTGGCTGCAGTTCCCTGCTCCCCATTTCTCTTGCAGCCAGCAGCCCTTTTCTCAGTTTCCATGCATCCCAAGCCTTCCCCCTGCTCCTTCACAGCCATTTGGGAGGAGGTATTTTTTTATTAACAGCAACAGAATTGCACTAATGACATGAACATAGATGTGATGAAACACACATTCTTCAAATTTACCATCAGCAATGTAATAATCTACAGTTTAAACAGAATAGAAACTGGCACGTTTCTGGTCAGGATTTGGAAAACATTCTCCCCACACCGTTACCTTCAGTATCTGCAATGACCTTGGTTTGAATTGAGGAAGTTTCCACTGGTCTCTAAAACAAAAATGGCCTGTGTTTTGGGGGCTTGGAGTTTGGTTGGGGTTCTGAATCGGGAGGCATGGTAGTAGTTGTATGCAATCATACAGAAAAGGAGTAACCTGTAGCAAAGCAGTTTCATGGACTGTTTAATCTTTCTTGTTTTCCACAACAGCTCACAATGCAAGTGCCAGACCCAGGTCCCCTTTCCCTCCTTTCCAAACCAGTCTGGGTTTGTGTTTCAGACAAATGCTTTGAGTATAAGAGAAGCAGAAACTCAGATCTAATAGCAGCTGCCTTAGTCAGCTGGGGTGTGTGACCTGGAGGGCTGTGCAGCTGGAGGTGCTGTGACATTCAGGTCAGTGCTGCCACCTTGGTGTCTCTGGCCATTAAGAGACTATTGTTTAAGCTGCTGTGTTAAACTCAGCCCATTTCCACAAGAAGTCTAAGATGTGAAATGACATTTTTGCTTTGCAGGTCAGTAGTCTGAACTGGCCTTCAGATCTGCTTTATTCCCACTGTGTACAGAAAGCCAAAGCTTCTCATTTTATCACAAGGCAGCGGAAGAGGCCACTGTGGCTGGTAAAGGGCTGGTTCTGGCGGGCTGGAGCTGCATTCCCTGCAGCGAGCTGGGATACCCTGGGCCTGCACAGGCCTGCGGAGCTGAGTGTCAGCAGAGCCAAGTAAAACTAAAAAAAAAAACCCTTGGGGAGGGATGTAGAAGGCAGGGTGGGAGCAAGGCTGCTGGCAAGGGCCTCCTGCACCCTGTCCCCATGGCCAGGGGCAAGCCATACAGTGGCAGCCTTTCTGCACAAACGCTTCAGCGCACACGGAAGGACCTTCAGGGAGTTCAGCAGTGCTGGTGGGCTGGGGGCTTTTTCCCTGACATCTGACTCGACAAGTGGGTAGCTGTTGAAACTTAGCACTTGTAGAGGAGGAAAGAAAGGAATAGCTTTTGGGGAGTTGAAGCAACTTGGAGCGCTTGGCCTTTGCCAAACTGGGATCTGTGTTTGCAAGAGCAGCCACAGCCACCTTCTGAGCAGTGCAAAATGTTGAGAGTCACATCCGTACGCCTGTGACACATCTAAGCAATGTACCCGGTGGTGTAACAAAGCTGCTGGTGGCTCAGTAGCTGCTCTGCACAGTTCCAGACCTGCTGTAGCAAAATCTGATGCTCATTTATTTCAAGGTCTGTACACATTCAGATTGCCAGCAAAGGCACAGGACAGCTGCTCAAGGTCTCTGTAACACTCTGCCAAAAAAAACTAAAAAACTGAAAAACTGTGAGACTGGAGAATCTGCAGTGTAGCCTGCTATTAGCAATACTATCATTGGTAATACTATCATTGGTAATAAGGAGAAAGAAATAAAAACATTTCTCTGGAGTCTGGCAATAGGGTCAGTAACAGGAACTAATTTCATCTTTTGCATCTTCAGCCACTATCACCACTGTCTCGGTAGTGGTTGGAAATCAGAGATTTTTAATGTAAATAATAAAGTTTTACTATAAGAATATAGCTATAGCACCCTGATCCACTTCTTATAATGCATCATCTTAGAAAGTTTCTAATGAATTTGAAGGAAATGTAATTTTGACTAGAAGTAAAAGTTTAAGGAAGCAGTAAGAAAAAACAGGCATAGAGGTGACCATAATGTTCTGCTTGGTTCTTGATAGGATTTAGGAGAGATGTTAAAAGATCTGTATAGAACAAGAAGATCCTGTTTCTAGATAAAAATTAAATAAAATTAGGCCTAGTTCTTAAATTTAACAGGCTTTAGCAAAAGTTGTACTAAATTAGTTTGAAATAGTAATATAATGAATTAGTTATTAGGGCAGATACTTCCACAGAAGGGTACAGAATGAGAAAAAAAAATCTCCAAAAGGTCTCAGTAAGGTAGAACGTGATCCATTCTCCCATACAATTCTGCAAAAACTGTCATGGTTATGCCTCAGCCTTCTTCTCTGCTCAGCCAAGGCAAATGGCTGCTTTCTTGTGATCTTCTAGCATAAGGTGGTGTTACTGGTTCAGGTGGGTTGAGCTTGTTGCTTTTCTCTGTCTCAAAGGTGTTTGGAGTTTAAAAACAGGTAACGAGCTGTAGCCTGCAAAACACAGGTGACAATGAAGCATAATCCTCCCTCAGTTATCTGTGCTTTGCAGTCTTGCAATTGTTTAAGCAGACTATTTAAAGAAAAGTAGCAACTAAGTAAATGCACAAAAAGACTAATTTAACCAAGCTTTGGATAAACGTTAGGGTAGGGCAAGATCTGTCATGGGAGTGTTTTAATCTGTCAGAAATGTGATGACTAAATGAGCAACTACTACTCTGAATATGTACCATCACTGGGCCCCTCCTACACTGGGGAGTATTTCTGCATTTCTCATGCAACCTGCTTGTGTGACAAATCTGCACACACACTGTACCCAATTAGTGTCAAGTGTGAGAGGCTGCTCAGCATGTGTCTCATGTCTCTAAACCCTCCTGGAAGCAATTTTCCCATCATCCGAAGAGTAAATCACCATTCTCCTAACTCTATCAGAGGACAGTTCCCAAATAAGAGCAGAATAAACACATGTAATACATGATAAAACATTCTAATTAATTAGATAATATTCTCCTAGCAGAAGTAGATGCAGAGTATTAGCTGCTTTTAGTGTTAAACATTACATGTAATTATGTCAGTGTAAGTGAGACAAGGCACATGGATTGGTACTTGTGGAAAACTAGTGAAAGAGCTTACTTAAAAAAAACCAAACAAACAAAAAAACCCCAAAAAACTGTAAAAGAAAAAAAATCAGTGCACACCTACTACAGGAGGTATAAATTACTTCGTGTCCCGGTCTCTCCAGAAGCATTGGTGCATGAAAAAGAGAGGGGAGAGCAGAGGGAGGGTACACAACCTGCTCTGCACACCCCCTCCTCGAGCAGCAACAGCATCAGGATGAAACTGTTAGCTTAATCTGACAAATGATTTAACATGACCACACCTTGTATAATTAAGAGACACATGGTGCTATTGGAATGTCCTTACTAGTCTGACAGCAGCTATTTCTCTTCACTCATTTTCAAGTGACCAAACACGGTGCTTAGACAGAGGCAGTGCTTGCTGAGAACGAACACTGACACCAGGATGTAACACAAATCCTACGGAAATGAAGGTAAACCCAGAACTGTGTTTTAGTCCAGCAACTGAAAGATTGGGTTACCTCCGAGCAGGCCTAGAAGGAGCTCAGGAGGCCATGGGAGCTAGGGGAGCTTCCTCAGGTGAGTACTGGGGGCCAAAGGCAAGACACTGGCATAAGAAAGGCATAATTAATTAGTTAATTATCTACCTGCAGGCAGCTGGAGTGGGAAACATGAAGGTGAAAATGCCAGTTTCGGTGTAGCTGGTGCACATTAGGTGCTGAGCTGGGCTTCCTTTTTCTGCTCTTGTGCACAGGAGAAGTCTGGCCCCCCCTTCCCTACTCTCTTGTTTTCTGCCAAAGGCTGGCTGGGTCAAAAACCATCCTCTGCTAGTGAAGGAGCAGCTTCTCTAGACAGAAAACAGCCCTGGGGTGGCTTCAGTTTAATGTTGCACTGAAGAAGTTTTATGCATGAGAGGTGAATGAGCAGGGCTCAGAGGAGAGCACCAATGAGCTTATCGCAGGTGTAGGACAAGCAAAGCCAAACAGAAGGATGCTTTGTTTCAGGTTATTCTAAGGCAATGAGAATTATGAGGAAACAGTTTGTATCTCTTTCTCCTGCCAGAAGACAGAGCATTAAACCCGTAATCAAGGTAAATTGGTACTCTAAGTGGCTGGCAGTGTGTAGCAGCCTACACAGAACAAGAGAGCCAGAGCACATGGGTGCTGGACAGCCAGGCGGTGAGGACATGCAAGCAGTTGCTAACATGCAGGAAATTGTCTTTAGAGTACTCAAGGATCTGAAAGACCTTTGTCTTTCAGCACTGTCCATCCTGATCTCTGATATTTACTATTATCAGAACTCAGGAGGCTATTAATAAGAGTTATGGATAGAAAACCAGATCGCTGTGGAAAGAGAAACCCCCGTTTAGCACTACTCCCTCAGGCTAATCAGGGACTGGAGGCTGGATCCAGCCTAGGCTGCTCCCTGCTGCTGAAAGCAGACAAACAGTGCACTACGAATGACATTTGACTGTGTAATAAATGGAGGAGTTGCACCCACTCACTTACATGTATTGCTGGAAAAGCACACCTAATTTGCTAAAAAAGCTAACTTCCAGCTATGAAATCCAGAGAACTTTTGTAAATGGTAAAGATGCAGGTGGAAATCAAGCGCAGGGTGCATGATGAGACTTGAGGGACCCCTGGTCACAATGAAAGCAAATGCTAGGCTGGGGAAGCTTATTAGGAAATACTAATATTTTCTTTGCCTTGACTGAGGTATTGGTATTCCTGCCCGATACTAAGCAGATAAACTGTGAGGAGTGGGGGTGCTGGAATTGAGCATGCCTGGGGGCTGAGGGCTGGCCTGGGCAGGGTGGACCACCTGGGAGTAAACAGCTAGCACTGCTCCTCACAGCCCAGCTGCCTCCTGGCAATGAGTACAGGCAGCTCCACCTGCTTCATATGCCAAACACCTGCAAACACAGCAGGAGATCGTGCTCTTGTCAAGCTTATAATCGCCTGGTCAGGGTGCTATGAAGTCCTTTTCCTTAGAGGGGTAGCTGTGCCTCTTACACAGGAGCCCTCAGGAGCTGCAGGTGCAGAGCAAACAGCAGAGGAAGATTTTTTTGGAATGTGGATCAGTCTGTCATGCCTTGGTGAGCGTATCCATAACCCAGAGGTGGCTCTGGCTTTGTGTTTTCAGCACCCTCTCTGGTTGCTGGAGATGGGTGTGATGGATGGTTTCCCTTCCCTGTCAGCAGCCTGGCTGTGCCATCCCAGGACACCAGGGACCTGGGCAGCCGCCTGCCTCAGGGCTAATGGGGCCGAGTGGCTGGACCTGCCCCTGCTGCTGGCACCCTCCTGCTCCTGAGGAGAGCCTGGTGTGAAAACCATCCCTCTCCTTGCTCCCTGCCTGAGCCCAGGGACGCGCTGGGCAGGAGGGCAGCGTGCCTGGGCCTCCAAACCGCCATCACGGCGTCCCTGCTTGGCTTTACAGGAGCCAAGGGCCTTTCCCCTCAGAGAGGGATCCTCGTGCCCCCAGCCTCCCCTCTCGTGTCCCAGACAGGCCAAACAACGGGGCCTGGGCCTTCAGCCCCGCACTGGAGCGGCTGTGGGCAGGGGTGGAGGGGTCCTGGCCGGTCAGGGCCCCTGAGACCCGTCGGTGCCTGAGGCAGACCGGGAGGCCGTGCAGTTCCTCTCCGCCGTGCTGCTGGGGATCGGCCCTCGGCCGCCTTCCCCAGAGCTCGGGGACACAGAAACCACACAGCTCCTCCCGCCGCTCCTGGAGCACGACTGCCAGAGGACGGCGCAAAGCGGAGCTGCCGCCGCTCTCGCTGTGAGTCAGGGCCGCCCACGTGAGGCCCCAGCGCCCGCCCTGACGCCTCCCTGCCCGCCATCGCGTGCCGGGGCTGGCACCGCGCGCAGCCTGCCCCGGGATCCCGGCCCACCGCGCAGCCCTGCAGGTGAGGGCCGGGGAGGCGTTTGGGAGCTGCTTGTGGTTGTGGCTGAGGGTGTTGTGGGGTTGTGTCCGGGCTCTTGGTGCACGGCTGGGTTGTTGGTTACTCCTCGAGGCATCCCGTTGCTGTACGAGGGGTTGTGGTGCCGTGAGGGAGAGTCACTGGACTTCCCTGAAAACTCCATGTCTTCTTGACTGGATTTACCCATCTTTTAAATATAGATGTATATATATTTTTCTCCCTGTATAAAACCCTAGTGGCAAGCCCTGCACTTTATGTGTAGGGAAGACTTGTTTGCCTTAACTTTACTCGGACTACAAATATGAGCTCTGCTGGCTTCTGATGAGCAACTTTTCTTCCCTTCAGAGCTTTCCAACAACGACAGAGAGGAGCACACGGTGTGTAAGAAGAAATACAAACCAGGTAATTACAAATGGCGTACGTAAATGTGTACGGGAGCGCTGCCATTATATTACCAGAGCGGCCAGAAAACAGGCAGCAAACTGCCGCAGGTTTGCAGGCGTAGGGCTGGCAGCAGTACGGCCACCGTGTCCGGGCTTGCTGGGAGAGGAAGGAAGTGCTGGTGCTGTGGCAAGGGGTGGATGGGCTGCACCCGCTCCCTGCTCACCCCGTGGGGGGTCACACCAAGCCTGGGGAGCTGCCCTCCCCACGGTGACACGCGCTCGCTGGGTCTCACCACCTGCCTGTGTTCAAGGACGCAGAACTGAGTGAGAAGTCTTTGAGTTTTGCTACTTCTCTGTCGCAGTTCAACTATATTTGACAACAGGAAGGCAAGCAGATGAATAGCAGAATTATCTCACTGCTGCCGTTGCCTGAGGAGACTAGAGTAGGAACAGTTTCAAACTGAGCTGGTGTGGATCAGTTTTTGTTGTCTTGCTGGAAGAAACTACAGGTTTTCACCACAGCTGCAGCCCTCCGCAACATCTTCCCGTGGAACCAATTGCTAGGACCAACCTAACACTTGCAGGTGTGCTTTATGAAGTTTGATTTGGTTTGAGAGAAGGCCAGGGAGGGACTTAATGTTTGTGTTTAAAATAAAATTTAACAAGATGTGGTGCCAGCATATAACTTAAAATGAAAAGTAAAAGTAGTTTCAAAGGAAAAAGGTTTAGAATTGTCTGGCTTTTGTCTTGAAGTCAAAACAACCTTATTTTACTTTATTTACATTTTTTGCTATCCCATTGAACGATCTCACTTAGATATATTTCAGCAGCTAAGCAAAAAGTTGTATGTGGCAATTATCAGTCTTACTTTCTAAACAACTAGAAGTGTGACTGCACACAAATTTTATTCTAACATGTTAAAAAGACTTCACTGCAATTATGTTCTGATTTACTGTGAGGGAAGCAAGATGATGTCTATTGTTCATGTCATTCCCCAGTGAGCTCATGATCAGGCTGAAGTGCCAGTATATCATCATCCTTCTCTCATTTATGAGGTATAATTAGCTAAATCACTTTTAAAACGTACAATAATTAAATGCCTATGCTTATCCTTTGTTTAGATCTGGTTTTCTTTCCGGAAGAGCCACAGGGGAATTAATTGACTGTAGTCTAAGAGAAATTAGGTACCCAACTTCTTTAGTTATGTAAAGCTTGGTGGCTGACTGGGCTTATCTGTGCTGGAGGCACAGCAGGGTCAATGGGAGCAGATGCTGGCTGCTTCTGGATCCTCTTGTGGCATCCGGGTCTTATCACAGCAGGATGTACAAGTGCATTAGGCAAACGTGTCTCTGCTGCTGCTACAGCTGAGCAGTCCGGTCACTCGGGCCAGCAAATGGACAGTTTTAAGGTAAATCAGTCTGAGAGCAAATGAGGTTGACTGTCTCTTCTGCCTTCAGTGTTGAATCTGCTCTTCCTTTGTGCGTGGTGGGACAGATCTGGTGCCTGCCTGCTTGCTTTGTCTTTGGGATGATGCAAAACTGGCATAAGGCATCTGCCGGGACAAGTGCCTGTCACAGGCAGATCAACGTGCCTCGGATGTGCCAATGAAAGCGGCCTTCAGGAGCCCCAAAGAAAAAGCTCATGAACTTCACTCAATGATAACATCTCGATATTTATAAATATTTTTATGAAATTGAATTCATCAGTCAGAAAATAAATGTTTGTTTAAAGTAATTTTGTTCCTTTAGGCCTTGTATTTCATCTGTGCAGTCCACAGAGGTCTAAATGATTTAACTTACAAAAGCAAACACTGTTGCAAGGTTTAAGTTGAGTAAGTAGGAGGGCAAGAAAGGTACTGAAAAAGACTGAAAACCATAACTGGAGATACATAACTGCGCAGAAATTATGTTCTCTGTTGTGCTGCCAAGAACGAGTTTATCCAGGGTGTGGCGCACCGGGTTCCTGTATTTCAACATCAGCTGCTGCTTACCCGGGCAGAGGACAGATGCGTTTCCTGCGTTCCCTATCGAGTGCTCACAGTCTGCACTGCCAGCGACTGTCACGCAGCACTGCTGCCACAGCTGCAGCAGCAAAGGCTGTAAGTCGGGCAAGGTTTGTGGGAGAGGTAAAAACTTTTCTTAGTCTAGTTGATAGAGTTCAAAGCTTGTTTTTCCAAAAGCTTGCCAGTTTTTCTAGGTATATCAGGTGGTTAAATAAAAGGTATTATTTGTCATTGTAGATGTCTTGGATAGAGTCATCATTGGGAGTAATTTCAAAGTGTTCTTAATTTTTTTTTTTTTTTTTCTCACAATACACCTAGGAGGTGGTAGGTAAGCAGTTTTATGGGGTTAGCTTTTAAAAGTAGTTAAAGAGATTATGTAATTTCCCTAGAGCCAAATAGCAAACCAGTAGCTAAACAGAATTTCAAAGTAAGGACCTCATTACTTGAAGAACTCTTGGAGCCTAGGAAAGGAGAAATCCCCCAGAATCACCAAAAATGTGGGATCTCAACCCTGGTTCCAAAGGAGCGATGGGTTTTGCAACTACTTTGGAGTCTGTGTCTAATTTCTTATGCCTGAGAACTGGCACACTAAAAAGTTGTTCTGTTTCCAGAATGAAGATGTTTTTGTTTGTGTTACACTATCCTTCTGAAGATATTAACTGGACTTGTTTTGGATTTTGTATTAGAATATTTTTCTGACTGATATGATGGTCTCTAGAGAACTGAAACTGCCTGTAGGAAAAGAAACAGTTTTCTATCATGAAAATTTAAAGGAAGTACTTAGTTTTTCAAACTGCGTGATTGGAAGTGTTGTGTTGAATGGACCCAAAAGTGATATTGTAAGAAAAATAGTGGGTGTATAAACTGTTTTCCTATTGTGCCCTGAAGAATGGAAACTGTACTTCAGGCTCCCCAGAAATCTTCTTTTGCATTTCTCAATACAATAGTGTTTCAGTTGAAATGTTGCATGAGGGGAGATGCAGTCAGTGGAGGATGCCTGGACCAGAGTGGGTGGAGGCAACTGTTCAGAACCACTACTACCACAAAAAATGCATCATCAGAACAAAACAGCATCAAACCAAAATTTGTGGGGTGAGTTTAGTAAAACAAAAGGAAACATTGCATTTTGGGCAAGTCAGAATGTCTTGTTTTCATAGCAAATACCAGCAAGAAATCTGGGATCAGCACTTCAAAACTTTTAATTCATAAACCTAAAGTTAGTGAAAATTTCATTTTCATGACAACTTGGGAAGAACAGATGTTGAAGTGTCAAAGTGTTCTTTGAGACAAGGGTTCCAAATCTTGTTGGGCTGTCCTATGAGCTATTTCTACTATTCTCCCTGATTGGTATGTTTAAAGTATGTACCAGTATGTCAAAGGTACAGAATAATTGTTCTGTTTTGTGAATGGGACAGGGCCTATTAAGTTACTCACACCTGTGGTAAATCATTAATTAGGCACCTTGGTAGTTGTAAAAAAACAACAATGTGAATGATCAAGTTGGACTTCTTTTTGTTTTACTCATGATGATCAGACTTTTGTTCTTTCTTAATAACCAAAAGCCAGCTCAGCAAGACTCACTTGGAGTGGAGAATGAGTCCCAGGAGGGTAAATGAATCATGATGTGAAACTCCCATTGCAACAGAGAAGTGATTTCAAAACTAAAGTGCCTAAAGATAGACGCCATGTTTGCAGGAAATCAAGTGTAAGACAGAAAACCAGAGAAGGTCAGACTGATCTGTTTCTAAATATGCTTTTTCTCCCCTTTTGAACAGGCACAGCAATGGAGAACTTGAATGTCCTCTTCCCAGACCTTACTGAAGAACAGCAAGGTAAGGGTAGTGCACAAAGATCAAAGTCTCTGCTCATTCATGCTACACAACAGTGTTTGCTAGAGCAGTGAAACTTGTTTCCTTTTGAAACACACTCCATCCATCCTTGCTCCTAAAAGAGACCTGCAGGCAGTTCCCAGCTCTTCTACAGGCTTCTCATCAGGCCTTAGGCATGTGCTTGTGGGAATTTAGATGCCTGAAGGAGAATTTGCTGTGCATTAAATGCCTAGTGAGCTATCTCAGTACCTTGGTATCCAGCCCTTTGTGTCTTTGTGCCTCTCTGTAAAATAGCAGGGTCAGAATAAGGACCTGTTAAATAGCTAGGAATACTTACCCTGCTTCTCTAACCAAGACAATAGCATCACAAAGATATCAGTAATTTGTGTGGACACTTTGCTGATTTCTGGCAGACTGAGTTGCTATATATAATACAGCACTACTCTCTTTCCTATGCACTAAGATGTTAGTCTGATGTCTGCCTACACCTACAGCGAGCACCCCAGGAACACTACCATGCAACCCACCTCTGCTGCTGCAGTGATTTGCCTGTTTTTCCTCCCAGACATTTTCCAGAGGGTTTTTACTGCTGATGCCAGTTACTTGGAGAATCATGAGAGAATGAACCAGTCCTTCTGGGAATCACTTGTAAAATGTTTAGCCACTACTGACCCACCTATCCTGAATACTGAAGAAAAAACCAATGTAAGTTACTATAGAAACATGCATCCTTTGTAAGACATTGTTATAGAGATACTTTTACACTTCTCTGGTATACTTGCGGGAGAGAAAACATACAGTCCAATGATCTAACACACTCAAGTGTATCTAGAACATACTGAATGCTGTAAAAGGGCATTTAGATACATGAGAGTCAGGCCCCTGATTTTTTACTTCATTGTTCTCCATGTGCAAAAATAACTGGCTGTGTATAAATTCCTCAGGATCAGTTCAGCTCCCCATTTTCTAGGCAGGACCGTTGTTAATGATGTTTTGCCGTAAGATACGGTGGAGAGTTTATGTCCATTTTCAGACCCTATATTTCTCTAGTTCTTTAACTATTGCACACCATGGTTTTTTTTTCCAGTTGACAGCTCTGCTCTGAGTTCCTGAATGGCGTTTACATTCTCATCCCATCTTTGGCATTAGTCTTTGTCCCTGATTTCCCCCTTGTTACAGTTGGGGCAGGGGATTACATTTCCCACAGGTGGAGTGAGATACGTTCATTTGTATAGCATGGTATGTTTTTATAGCCTATGTTTCACTGGAAGGACTATTTACTATTTACTTACCTTTCTTTCAGCTCCTCAACAGCTGCAGTGTCCTGCCTGGAGGCTGTGCAGCCTGCCTGGAAGCCATAGAGAAGAAAGGAGTCAGGGCAATGGCTCTTCTTTACCTCTTGCTGAAGGCAACCAACCCATCTGGATATAGGCAGCTGCCCAGCTCCAAGGGAAAGGGTGAGTCCCACCTGGCTGCTTGTCAGCTATTTTATTAAAATTACAGCAATGCCAGTGGGACTTGACACCGTTTTGAAAACTGTGGTATACGCTTGGAAGTGATTATTAGTGAACAATTAAAATGTTTAGAAATACTGCTTAGAAAAGTCAGTTAGGTATGGTGACAATGGGAGCCAAAGATAGTATTTTATTTTAATTTTACTTGGCTTCTTCTGGGGAATAAAAAAATGTGTTTGTTTAGGGAGAGAGGATGTCCTGGGGTGATGATGTCAAAGAAATTTCTCTGACTTAAAGTGGTGCCCCAGTTTTTCCTGTCTAGCTGGATTCACAACACTCAGGACACTTTTTTTTGCATGGACTGTTACCCAGCCAGCCTGGACTTCTCTGAACTCTCACAGATGCCACCCAGTGTGCTGAACTTGGCAACAAGATACAAATAGACTCCACTGTACTTGTCCTGAGTGCAGTTCCACAGGGTCCATAGAGCCATTGTCTGTAGTAGGTCAGAGCTGCCCTCACTTAAGATGACCCTGAATTTGACTGGAGACCCTCTAGGAGATCCTGTTTCTGCCTTGATTAAATATGCTCCTGCAGGGGAGAGACCTCCCGGCCCAGAGAGGAGCCCAGCTTTGGTCATCTGTCAGAGCAGGGAAGCCTGTCACAGCAGGGACACCCTCCCTGCTCTTGTACAGTGAGCAGCATCGAGCAGCCAGCGGGGAGGCATGGCTAACTGTGTCTGTCCAAATTTTACAACTAATAATGAAGAGCTGCACGGACCTGCTGGCCCTCAGCACAGAGCCTGGCTTGGAGCTGTTAAGAATCACCTGCAACTCCAGCTACATAAGCCAGGAGCACAGGGTCAGCATCCTGCAGGTCTTTCCTCCCCGGTGCCCAGGCCTGGCTGCCCTTGAGTGCTTGGCTGCTGTGTCACAGGAGGGTGCTGGCACTGCGGCCTGAACCCGGGGAGCCCCACCAAAATCACGAGGGTGACAGCAGGAGTAGCCCAGGGAGGGGTGGGCAACTGTTCTCTAGCTAAAGCATCTTTCAGCTGCAGCTGCTCTTGCCTGAGGGAGTGGGAATTTTTGCAGGGGTAGCGTTATGGGTAAATTAAAGGCTGGAATGTGAAACTTTAGGCATCTGCCACAACAATTTAATAAAGTCTAAACAGTAGTGTATACGATGCTTTAATTTGTAATGCTTTGTACTACTCCCTGTGTGCAAAAACCACAGCTGATGTAAGACTAAGGGTCTGATTTCCTGTCAGACGGTGTTTTATAAAGCATTGTAAAATCTGTCACTGTAAAACAAAGGAAAGGTAACTAGTTGTTTCTAATATTTTTCCTCTCTCTATAATACAGATGAAAAATTGAAAACCCTGAAGAGATTGGAAAGGAATCTCATGCTTTCACGAGGGGAAAAAAAGGCTGAAAACTCATCCCACGAGTCCATGGATGAAGATACAGAAGGTAAAGAGGATTTATTTTCTTTTTTTCTGATACATAATTTAGCTTGATTGCATGTTCATAAGATTCACATAGGAGACTTGCAGCTATTCAGTAGCAGTTCTGCAGTACTCTGAAAAAAGTAAGAAATTGTGCTGAAGAGAGAACACAGAAAATAATCGGTACCTCTAGATTCATAATCAGCAAAATAGTGGCTGCCTTCTGCTCTTGTGGAAGTTGGAGGTTTCAGAAACACAATCTGCTGCAAGATTTCTTCCCAAATACAAGATCATAACTTCTGTGACCTTCAGTGCGTTTATGGTCTAACTGAAACCTGCACTGCAGCAGGAGGCAAAGAACAGACAATGTACAGTAGTAGCAGGCAATGCTATAGTGCTCTGCTGGCACTTCTTTTAAGCAACCATCAACAGTGTATCAGAAGTCACCCTGGCTGCCCCTAGACAATTTCATTGATGGAAGATGAGAGTGACCAAGAAGTGGCAGGCAACACCGAAATTGTAATGCCGATATGGACTTATTCTGTTACAGAAAGCTATTACCTGTTTAAATGCTTAGCTAGATCAAATGATTTGCAATTAGAAAAATTTTTCAAACTAGTTAGTAGTGCTGATGATGTATATGTTTAAAATAAGAACTCACTACATCCCTTTATACAAATTATTCCAACTTCAGATTTTGCTGGGTTTTTTCCTACTCAGATTTGAAGAGAGCTGTGAGGCAAAAAGCAGCTAATGATCCTTGCATTTCAGAGCCTTGATTTTTACTTACATATCCCATGGCCATTATTATAGTATAAGCAAACAACTGCAGTGCTGTTGTTTCTAATACTGCTGGCACATTTTTCTTTAATCTGATAAAAATCACTTTATCCAGACAGCAATGGGGAAGATTTAGGAAGACAAAAGACTGAAGGCCAATTACTTAGAGGTAGGACAAAGTGACAACAGTATTGGCTTTTACTAGAGATAACCAATATAAACAAAAAAAATGGTAATTTCTGGAATTCTTTGGTTTGACTTTTGAACAAAGTTATAGTAACATTTATGGACATAGGAAAATGACCAGTCAGAATGTGGTTGTAGGAAAGGCATTTGCTGTCAGATGAACCTCAAGTAATACTAACAGTCAGCCATGCCCTCTGCTTAGAGTGGAAGCAGAAGAGCAAAATCTGCTGTTGTGGGAGAAGTCCTACTGCCTGGGTCTGTGTAGCTGCCATTTAAATGCAGCAAAAGAGTTTTGAAAGTATTTATCACAGCCACTACTTAGAGGGTCTGCAGTCAGCCCTCAGTACTGACTGGAGCTCATCCAGCAAGGTCCACACCTTGGACCTCCTTCCCAAGGCTTTTCCTTTCCTTCCAAAAGAAAAATGGAAAATAAATACAGTGCAGATGAAGAATGTGTGCTGTGTCAACACACAGAAATAGGTATCAGCTTATGGTATAGAACATGGATGTAAGTAAGTTAAGGCTTCAATCATTTAATTAATGTCTTAAATTGATCTCAGCCCAGATGCAAGAGCAGCTGACTTAAATTGACATTAGGAGATGTAATTTGTTTCACAGGAGTCTGATTCTACCTGACTCTGGATATTGTGAGAGAAGGAATATGGGGGGTTGATAATTCATTCACGTTTCTCACTTTCGAACTGCGTAAGGCACACAGAGCTGCCCTCTCAGTGAGTTACAGTTGGTATCTACCTTGTCACTTTTACACAACCCCACTAAATTCAATGGAGTTGCTTGGGCTAGGACTGGCAGCAAGAGATCACGCTCATTATGGATATTAATCTATGTCATCTTTGCATAATATTTCAGGCACACCAGCAGACATTGTTCCCTACAGAGATTCAGGTAAGTGTTCTCACATAACCTCATCCTGATGGAAGGAAGACTGTAACTGCAGTTTCTTCTTTCTGGCATGCTTATATTTTAAAAAATTATCTACTGGCTGTAAATCCATTGGTTTCCAGTTAGCCTGGTGTTGGACCTGGGTGTGGTGCAGGTGTTTTGTTCCAAGCTCATCGCAGTGGCTGGCTGGTGGCAGGTGACCTGTACAAGGTGTTCTAGCAGAGGAACCCATTTTTTTATAGGCCTGCCAGATTCTCACAAAATGAGCTCACAGCAGTTGTCATCCTTTTTAAGGGGAAACCCCAGCAAATCTGTTGAGCAACTCTTAAGTCTTTCCCAGGAAAGCTAGGCAGTTTGCAGCACTCCCTGCTGCCCTCTTTCTCCTGTAGGACAGGGATGCAAGGCTGGGAGGGAGCTGGAACCTGCTTTCTGCAAAACAGTGATTCTCAGATCTGAATGCCTTATTCACTTAGGGCACAGAGGGTTCCCCAACAGAAGATGCTAGGTGAAGGCCATGCCAGAGAGACAGCGCCAGCTGAGAGGCTTGAACAGACAGTCAGTCTAAAGGCAAATTTCCTTTTCTCAGGCACTGCTGAGCAGCAGAACAGATGTAAAAAGTCCCTAGCAGGAAATTCTCAGTGGCTTGTTTGCGTTACTGACCTCCTCCCTCCCGCTCCCGGGCCAACACCACCTTCATTAGTTATGAGAGGCAGACAGCCCAACAGACATGTTGAGCAGACATGAGAGGGCACCTGCTCAACTACTTCTGTGCAGTGGTGAATAGTTGCTGCAACTTGGACTGTTTCAGCTGAGGACAGAGTTGGGCAGAAGATATAAATTGCAGCATAATCCCTAGGAGAGGTTTTGGAGTTACCTACCCCCAGGGAGTTGCATAAAACACCAGGGTAGGGGAATATGTTGTAATGCAGTATTCTCCCCATGTTGCCAGGTGCAGAAAGAGGATCACAGTACTTTTCCAGGTGGCATTTGGCCCCTCCACCTCTCACCAAGCCTTTGTTGCTTCAGTTCTAGATTGCTTCAATACACCAGACGGGGCTAGTGCAGGACACGGTGCCCCCTGCACGGGGCAGGCTCAGGTGATACACACGTGCAGCACTTGTGGTCCCAGGGCTGTTTGGTTCTAGCTTCAGTTCTAGTAACTGAATATTAACAGAGAGGCCATCAATCTTCTCCTGCCCAGCTGTTTCAAAGAACCTGGGATCACTGTGAACTCTGTTTTATTGTTATCTGTTCTTGGGCCCTTTTAATTTCCTTCACTTCCTGACGCTTTCAAGTACTGTTTAGTCTATACCCAGACACCAACAGGTGAATACTCACTGTGCTTGCTGGTGCTGGTCGTGGTGGGAAACAATGTATTTCTATTTCTACCACCAGAAGTAATAAAACTATGTTGCTTTTCAGAGATTGCCAGAAGAGAAGATTCAATTGCAGATGGTAAATACAGATGGGAAACCTGAAGTTTTGCTTGTGGCTGCTGTCTTTCAGGACTGAGTTTTGCTTAGGGGTGATAGCCATACCAGCTCCTTGATACCTTTATTTCCTAATCAAACAGTAGCAGTTCGAGAATAGTTATTAAGATGCACTGAAATGCTTTAATAGAAGAAATTCTGTGCAAGTCATTCTGTGATACAAAGTTACAGTGGGACTGTTGCCTTTAGGAGGCAGAGTGATACAGAACAGACACTTGCAGAGCATGAATTGATGCTCTGATAAATTCTGCGTCTGTAGATCATTCATACAACTGCACAGAGGAGCATTTGTGAGTCAGAATATTGCAATGCTATGTTAACATTAATAATCAAATAACTGAGTTTGTCCCCAAAACAGCATTTGATCAATCCAGAATGCTCAATCAAAAACATGACTCCAGTGTTGGGTGACCCAGAACAGCATTTCTTGGCAAAGTGTAGTTGCTTCATGGTTCAGAAGCACAGTAGCAGAAGGCTGTAGATTATTTGGAGTACGTTTCCAGTACTGTCCTGTTACATCTTTAGAGACAATTAAATTCACTGCCAGGCAGCGGTTGCCTGGATGCACAGACCAAGGTAAGTGAAATCAGCATCTAAAACTTGTGATGAATCAACTCCCCAAGGCTCGTATGCAGCTGACCCAGGGGTCTTCCCAAGAGATCAATGAACAGAAAAGTAAAAAACCTTTTGCTTTGAACACTTCTTGGAAGTCTGGTAAAATATTCGGCTCTTTCTGACAATTCAATTGGAGAAAGAGCAGAATTGGACAACTCTGCTCACAATTAATGTAGAGCAAAATGCTCTCTATTTAAACCTCTAAAAATATCTAGCTTGTTCTTCCCGTGTTGTATCAGCGTAGCTAGCTATAGGAGACTAAGGGTCAGCTGCTGTCCTTAATTTGGGAGGTGCAGAAATACTTCAGCATCAGACTTAAGTAGATTGATGGTACTCATACGCTCAGTGATGAAGACAGTTACATTATTGTAGCCCTGGTTGTGCAAAGCATCCAAGAATCACACTGAAGCTCCCTTGTACTACTGCTTTACTCCCCCACTGTAATTCTGAGACTACTGATTGTCCCAGACTAGACAGAAAAGACCCAGAGTGCTTTAAAACAATTCTGTACTGTTAATGCAACCGTCTAATTATGCTTTTCTTTTTAAAAAAACCCTGCTCTTTTGGGGGCGACTTTAACATTGCTAATTTGAGCTTTCTGAAAGGCTCACAGATATCGCCTTTGAACAAACAGTTTTATGGATATTCTTCTTTGTGAGTCAATTTCAGATACAAAAAGGGAAATATAATTCCTTAGTTGCAAAGTTCCACAGCAATAAAAGACATTTCTTTTTTGTAGCATATGAGAAGGAGAACACTCGCCTCCATCAGTGGACAGTACGGTGGATGGGCATACGGAAGGATGGTAATTTTTAAAATTTTCTAAAAAATTTTCTTTAAAATTCAACTGATGTCAACCCTGTTGAACCTTAATCTGCAAATAAGATCTCTGGTTTAAAAAAACCTTTTTTTTCCCCCCGACGTGAGCACTTTGTTGAGGCGCATCCAGGCTTCTCGTAACAACTTGTGCAGATGCATGTTGTGCAGTGGAGTCTAGTGTATGAGCCACCTCACAGAAATAGTCTTTATTTGCTGAGTGATATACTGTACCTTAAGGTGTATGTGTAAGGGCCATGCCTGCAGTTGTAACCAAGTTTTTCCTCTCTATTTCAGATGAATTCTTTCATTTTGTCATTCTTTGCTTTGCAATTGGAGCTTTACTAATTTGCTACTACTACTACAAAGGTAAGGCAAGACTGCAGTAGAAGGATAAATTGTTGCACACTAGAAAAATTAACAAAGCCAAACATTTATTTTGTTGCCTTAGATTGGACTATTTCTCTTGGAATTGGTTTAATCACCTTTGCTTCCCTGGAAACCACTGGGATATACTTTGGTCTAGGTGAGTGTATCCACAGCAGCCAGCTGGGTGCCCGCACGGGGGACAGAGGGTCACACAGTCATTAAATTACTCAGGGCTACAGAGCTGCTAGCGCCAACGTTCCGCAGCCCATGGCCCAGCTAGCCCCTGACACCTCGCTAACCGTTACCCCGTCGGGCTGCAGACAAACCCGCCTTCGTGGCGCTGAAGGGAGAGGTTGACTCATTTTTTGCTCTCGACGGTCCCAAGACCCCGAGTCACCTTTCTGCAGCAGTGGCCAAATGCTGAGTTGCCATGACAACGTCCAATTTTAGCAGCAGGGCTCTTCCCAGGTACACTCCCGACGGTCCTTCCCCGGGACTGAGGCGGCTGCAGCCTGGGGAAGAGCTCGCAGCGGGACGGGGATGGCGGCAGCTACTGAAAACAATATTTAAAAAATGGGCATTCTTGGCAATCCCTTGGGATGGCGTAGGAAAGGTGGAACTAGCAGGAAGTTTCAGCTTCCCAGCTGAGGACAAAAGTCTCCTTTGTAACCTTGTGCTAGTATTTTGGTAGATTGTGGATGGTTCTCTCAGCAATCAGCCTTGTCATCACTCTGTTGTTAATGGTATCACAGAAATGCTTGTTTAAACAGTAATCTGGGGTTCATTACTATTGCAAGGGTCAGGGTTTGTTTTTTTCTATTTTTTTTTTTTCATGTTGTTATCTGGCTCATCTTGAAAAAAATGTTTTGTTTTCATCATCAGTGTATCGAATTCGGAGCGTACTCAACAGTTTTGTTCCTCTGATTGACAAGTTCAGGCCACCAGGTAATACTGATCTTCCTCCTGACCGCAGGTGTATTCCCCAGACCTTCCTGGGTACTTCATTTTGGTCAGGTCTTAAGACCAGCTTCTCTAAATTACAATTTCCAATCTTAAACAAAAAAAAGAAAAAAAAAAATAGCTTTTTACAGCTTCTTGGGTTTGAAAATGACTTTTTCTTGACTCTTTCCATGTGGCAGAGCGTTTTCACACTTTTAATACTCTGCCTTGTATGGGGTATTAACTGTGTCCTGACAAGATCTGAGTAAGAGTGCTGTAGCTCAAATATTCAGGGAGTGGGGTAGGTTTCTCCTGCTGGATGTTCGGACAGACTCCAGACTCATGTTTATCTGTTCCTGAACACAAAACACAAAGAATGCTGAAAAGCTGCATCAATAGGTGACAGTTTGAACACAACTGACCTGACAGTCATCTTCTTCTTCATCACGCAGGTATGAGGAAAGCTGCCTAGGAGGAGTGTTTTAAAGAGTTCCACAAAACCCTCCTGTCTGAATTTCTAGTATTAGAAGAGCTGCTCTGAGGTAAACAAAAACCTAATGACTAATGGGAAATATTGAAATGTTAAACCCTAGAAAGACATCATTCCTTCCCCTCAAAAATAAAGCTGAAACTGCATTAGCAGGTCCTCTTCTTTCTTCTGAATTTGGGGCTCAGCAGACATCTACATGTATGTTTATATTTAATGGAATTAAATATAATAAAGAAAAAAGTATGTATCATTTAATATATATATTTTAAAATAAGAAATATTAAATATATTTAATGGAATGATATATAAACCCATTCTCCTTCCCTCCCCCCTGTGAGCATGTTAGTCTGCCTCTGGTCTGTCAGAGCCCCCCCTCTCCCCCGTTATCCTCCGTGGGGTGGGGATCAGGCTCTGGCTCTTTCAGTAGGAATCTTGGCAGCCACCGAGCTGGGCCCCCTCCTCGCCGGCCCTTGTGATGCTGCAGCCCTGGCAAACACCAGCTGCTGCTTACACAGCTGAGCCCCAACAGCACTGAAGCAGATTAATTTATTGTGGCAGAACTCAGTACAGGGGGGGTGTAACGATTTCACCCAGTGAAAGCTCAGTGAGCTTTTACATGCAGTGACATAATGGCACAGTAATGAGATTGTTAACAGCAGCAAATTTCATCTCTTCTGAAGGGCAAAATAAAGTGCTCGATTTGACTCATCCCCCAACCTTTCTCTTTCTTTGAGTAAAATAAAGCACAACGTTGACATTCATTTTATAGGGGCATGTTGCTCCTTATATGTGTAGGGCTAATGCAATCACAAGCAGACTGCAAAAAAAGGGGATACCTTTAAATTTTTAGGATACCTTTAAATTTTTAGTAAAAAATGTAAGATCTTAATACCCATAGAAGGATGAAGGCATCAAGTCAGACAGAAAGAGCCATAAAACATGAAACTGTAAGGAAATGTAGATCCAAAAGCCATTAGCCCAAACAGCCCAGAATTTGAGAGAAGCAATTTCAAGCCTCGATCAGAAAATTAACACACTTTTTCATTGTACTTAATTTAAAATTTTAAGCACCACTGTTGATTGTTCTTGTGTGTTGCAGTTCCCTTTGCACATCCAGAAATAGCAGCAATTGGATGCAGGCCTGTACCAACACAGCACAGCAGTTACCGAGCATGGCAGGGGCTCAGTTAAGCAATAAGGATGAATACAAGCTATTTCCTAATGTTTATATTCTCATTTACATGTCTTTGTAGAAATATGGATTTTGGGTGAACTGAAAACCGTGTAGTTACCCTGCTCTGATAAAAATTGCTTCTTCAGTTTCCTCTGCTGTATAACATCTTTCTGAAAGGTAATTTGGGGAATAGTCTGAATGAGAAACATATTTTAGTACTAAATATGTTTTCAAAATTGGTACTCTGCAGTCAATAAAATGAATTTTTAATTTTACTTTTTTTTTTAACAAGCTGCTTAAGGGTAAAATAATCAAAACATTTAAAAATAGCAAAAAATGTAAAACTTACCCAGTGGAACCCATCATGTGCGAGGAACAGCTGACCCAACTTACAGCACCTCACGTGAGAAGAGTCAATTCTGTAGGAAAAAAGAACAACTTACGTGTTCAGCTGCATCCTCTGGGGTATCTGGGAATTTCCTGCTGTTGTTTCAGATCCATCCTGAGTCCACCTCAGCATTCCCGACGGCAGTGCGCTCATTTTGCTCTCGCCGATCGCCCTTGCTGCAGCACCAGCCAAGCCAAGCATTCCAAACCACACGTTCCTGGGACGAGTTTCATCCTCCTTCTACCAGCCCGTGCTCACGGAGGGCCCAGCAAGCCCCTCCTCCCGCAGCCCTGCTGGGCCTCCACCTCCCCCTTGGTTCCCCAGGACCTGGTACATCTCCCGCCACTTGAACCGCCGCTGCTTCCTTCTCAGCTCTGGTCCCAGCGGGCTGGGGGCAACGCGGAGAGGAGGAGCCCTCCCCCCGCAATACACGCTCCTGCTTTGCACCGCCCAACGTGTCTGTCCAGCAGAGCAGCCAGTGAACTCTGCTGGCAGCGAGGGGAGAACTTCAAGAAATTATTTCAATCATCTGCAGCAGTCAGTTGGACCAAACATTGAACAAGTTACTCGATTCGCCTGAGGCTACACCGCCCAGCCTCGCAGGGCAGCCCAGCCAGACCCCCGGGGGGGTGGGGGGAGGTCAGTCACAAAGCAGAACGTGCTCCTGCTGTGCAGCCCCACACCGGTAAATAGCCTGGAGGTTTTTCAATGGCTGAGAACATTCAGATGTTACCGCACAAAACCCCACGGAGAAAAAAGAGATTTTAAAAAAGCAGAAGTTTTTTTAAGCTGGTATTTTTATTAGAACTCTCTACATAAAGCATCTTTGCCTGCCTTAAACTTACAGTACTTCTCTGACCGCTGCTTCTCTGTAACACAGCGCAGGATGCCTCAAGCTACTCCGCATTTCTTGATTTGGACGCTGCCACCTTAACAGCTTGCACAATGGCATCTTTATCGATGCCAAACATCTTCAGCAGCTCAGCTGACTTCCCACTGCGTGGTACATGAGATACAGCCAAGCGCTGGACTGTGATACCCGGCTCACCCACCACTGCAGCACACACGGCTTCTCCAATGCCACCTACAAAACAAGTCAAACACAACACACACCTGTGTGCTTCCACAGGCAACGCAGAGGTAGCAAGTACATCTCATCCAAAGGTCCATGCCAGTTACCTCCTCACTTCACATGCTTATGGGAGACACCAGTCACAGCGTGTGGCTGAGTTGTCCATTTGTGAAATTAAAACCATTTCCTATTTCAAAGGCATTCTGAGGACAACCAGCCTGACATTGCTGAAGTACTTCCAAATTGGCAGTAAGAACCATATACGTCTCAAGGGCACAACTGCAGGAAGCCCTCACCACTTCAGATCAGCCACCAAGAGCCAGGTTTAAAAATATATTTAGATTGAGGAGTACTTACAAGTGTACTTAATGTGCTGAAAGTCTTAATTCCCACCAATCTCAACAGCATTTAAGAGCTCCATCTTTTCACAACGCCTGTCCGTGCCGCTGGGCACCTCTCTGAGTTATGTAATAGAATCACAACCTTTGCTCAGAGCCCCGCTCAGACTGAATCACTATCGCTCCCAGGGACAAGGATGCAGCGGGGAACTGCGTTGCAGCAGGACGGACACTGCAAGCAGGAGTCCCCGGGAAGAAGAGGACACAGGGCGAGTGTCGAGAGCACCTGCTCCGAGCCCCGGTAGGAGAGACACCTTGGTGCTGCCCCCCGGGACTGCCGGGCTGTTCGCAGCTGCGGGCACGGTGCGGTTGACCCAGCCAAAGCCAGCCTCTGCGCCCAGGCACCGCCCTGGATGCGGCTGGCGAGATCAGCCCGATGAGGGCTTGTGATGGGTGTACGCTTGACCTTCCTCGATTGTGTCACACCAAGAAAGCTGTGCCAGTGTAAATCGCATGTTCATCACCTCAGAGTGTGATCATGTTGCCAATTTGAAAATCTGCAGTAACATATTTGTCCAGAGTTGAAAGACAAGCTACAAAATGATGAGGCTCAGTGCTGCTTTCAACATCCATAGTCTGGAACAAAAGCATGGTGCAACCAGCACTTACGGTAATGCCAGATCACTTCAGGTGACAGACAAGAGAGATGCTTCACCTCAAAGTAGGATAATATTCTCATAATTTCTATTAGTGGATATCTACTAATGCCATAGTTCGCAGCTGCCCCTCTGCTAATTTCTCCATCTCCCAGCAAGAGGAGCAAGCCTGACACACGACTCACAACAGCTGCGCTCTGTTTGCCTACGGCCTCATCTTCCCCAGACATGTGCATAGGCCACCCCCTGAAAACCTGTGCAAACAAGCAGCAGCAGATTACAGAGTTAGCTTCAGCCGGGTGCTGGTCACAAGTGGTGCTCCCAGGGCTCAGTACTGGGGCCAGTTCTGTTTAATGTTTTTCTCAATGATCTGGGCAAGGGGATCGAGTGCACCCTCAGTAAGTTTGAAGATGACACCAAGCTGGGTGGGAGTTTTGATCTGCGTGAGGGTAGTAAGACTCTACAGAGGGAACTGGACTGGCTGGATCGATGGGCTGAGGATAGTTGTATGAGGTTCAACAAGACTCAGTGCTGGCTCCTGCACCTGGGTCACAACAACCCCATGTAATGCTGCAGGCTTGGAGCAGAGTGGCTGGAAAGCTGCCCAGCAGAAAAGGATGTGGGGGTGTTGGTCGACAGCCAGCCGAATATGAGCCAGCAGCATGCCCAGGTGGCCAGGAAGGCCAGCAGCATCCTGGCTTGTGTCAGCAATAGCGTGGCCAGCAGGACTGGGGCAGCGATCGTCCGCCTGTACTCGACCCTGGGGAGGCTGCACCTCGAATACTGGGTTCAGTTCTGGGCCCCTCACTGCAAGACACAGACTGAGGTGCTGGAGTGTGTTCAGAGAAGGGCAGCGAAGCTGGTGGAGGGTCTGGAGCACAAGTGCTGTGAGGAGCAGCTGAGGGAACTGAGAGTGTTTAGCCTGGGGAAAAGGAGGCTGAGGGGAGACCTTGTTGCTCTCTACAACTACCTGAAAGGAGGCTGTAATGAGGTGGGTGATGGTCTCTTCCCCCAAGTAATAAGTGATAGGACAAGAGAAAACAGCTTCAAATTGTGCCAGGGGAGGTTTAGATTGGATATGAGGAAAAATTCCTTCACCAAAAGGGTTGTCAAGCATTGGAACAGGCTGCCCAGGGAAGTGGTTAAGTCACCATCCCTGGGGCTATTTAAGACACAGAGATGTGGCACTAAGGAACATGATTTAGTGCTGGACTTGGCGGTGCTAAGTTAAAGGTTGGACTCAATGATCTTAGTAGTCTTTTCCAACCTAAACAATCCTATGATTCTAAACAAAATCCTGGCACAGAAGCTGGGGGAGTCTTATAGAGACTACTCTGCTTCCCCCAAGAAGCATTCTACCTCAAGATTTACTTGGGAATCATCTTAGAAATTCCTTCCTGCATGCATCATACACTTTTTACCCTAGTTTAAGAACAGGACCATATACCAGCAACAGAATCCTGAAATGGCCTGTAAGCAAGTGAAATGAAGGAACAAAAGAGAGTCCAGTGAGGATGCAAAGTGCTGTCGCTCTTCACAGACCCTGATCTGCTCTTTTATAGTAGTGGAGAAGAAAGAGAGAGGAATTTATCCCAGAGGGACTGTGGACACAGTCATAAACCATCTGATTTCAAGCAACCTAGAGTCAAGCTTTTGCACACAGGGAAAACTTGCACAGCAAAAGCCTGCACAGCAATGATCTCTCTTGAAATTAAACAAACCACAGAGCAGCTGCTGTAAAGCCATAAGGCAAAAGCACTGCACCACAGCTGGAATTTACAATTTCACTGGGCACAAATGAATCAAGACTTCACTTGGACCAAGCATACAGGAGGACACACAAGTCCAAGTTAATCAGAAAGGCAGCTCTGATAAACCCATTATATTTTAGGAAACTTTCAACCCTCAGTGTCATCTTATATTTGTAACAGCAATGAAAAAGGCTAAAACCTCTCCTTTGCTTTAACTGAACGACAGCATCAGGTCCCATACTTCTCTCTCAGGTCAGGAGAAGCTTTGAGCTTCCAACCCCTGGGGAACAACTGTGTGGGCTGTGACCTCCCAGACCTTCTCACCTTCATGGTAATG